GGCCACCTCCCCTCCTCCTCCCCGCCCCCCAGCCCCCTCCTCTGCGCTGGGCTCCCCTTGAGCTCGCGGCTCCGGGCAGCAGGCCGCCGCCCCTGCCCCTTCGGGTGAAGGAGCGCTTCTCCTTCTGACATGGTGCAGAGCGAAGGAAGGAGAGCAATGGCGCCGTGACACTCCGCTGCCGCCACCGCGGGCCCGGGGCGGGCCGAGGGGGCCGAGCGGCGGAGGCGGGGCGCGGGACGAAGTCTGGGTATCTGGGGGGCCGCTGAGTGAAGGCTCGGCGGTCACCTGTCTAGAAGACCCGGGGAAGCCCAGATCGTGCCCTGCCCTTTTCCAGGGCGATCAGTCCCGGGGCTCAGAGTTGAGCATTCCAGATCAAAGTGACCAGCGAAGCGGGGGGCGCGGTGGGCCGCTGCGGAGCTCTGGGGTGGACCAGGCTGCCCTTTGGCGCCGGTGGGATTCTCTTTGCCCTCTCGGCTCCTGCGTCCTGGCTGCCCTCCGAGGGGGTCTTATCCTTTGGCTGCTGAGGGTTCTGCCCCTCCCCGCTGGCGTTTGTTTACTTTCTTTTCCTGGGTCGCTCCCCGCTGTTGACTGATTCTGTGCCTGTCTTCCCTCTCCACGGTTCTAGCGACAGCGAAGAAAACTCGTTGAGCTGGAACCCCACAGATCACCAATAAAAATGAAGGTAAGTAGAATCAACTCGTCTGAACCTCGTGCCCTGGACACTGCCAGTGGTGAGGCTGGTGCCTTGGAATGTCATCTTTTTGTTACTTAAAATTGATTTCTCCACTAAGCAGCACTTTTGGAAATGGGAACATGTGAATGGTGAGAAATATTTGTAATGCAGTCAGTTCAGCTCTCCTGTAGCAGTTAGCACTTTGGAAAGGCTGGGCCAGCCTTTCAATTGTTGTCCATTCGGCTAGTATTTTTAAACACTTCCTGTGTTGGCAGTAACCTTTGCAGAAGTAGAGCTTTTGTCTTGCTTTGGTTCTTTGGGGAATTTTTTGAAAATATTTTTTTTTCTTGTGTGATTTTTCTCCCAATGTGATTTCTGAGAGAAAGAATATGTGAAGTGAGTAAAAGAGATATCATTTTCTTCTTGGTGGATAAAGCAGATTTCTGCAGTTACCATATTTGAGGTTGAACTCAAAACAATTAATACTTAGTTTTAGTTTAGTCTTTATAGTAAATATTTTTAAAATATATCCATCCTTGAATACACACACACATGCACATTCTTCTGAAGACTCCTAATCTTGGAAACATAGATGTTTAAAAAGGAAAGGAAGATCTCATAGCAATTTCTGGAGACATTTGTGTTTCTGGTTAGATTTTTATTTGTCACACATATTCTCCAGTTTGCATTCTTTGTAAATGCCCTTGACTTTATCTATGTCTATACCTGATCCATGTCTTATTCACAGTTTTAGCACCTTAAGCTCTAAAAGGTAACATTTTCCTGAACTCTCTCATCTTCCTGTTTTCTTGAAATAAGTGACACATCTCACCTTGTCTAATATTACTTGGGAAAACTTACTGGAAAATGAGCACAGTTGTTTTCTATTTAAAAATATATAAATAAAGTAAAAATGGTTACCTTTGCACCTAGTTATGTTGAATTGAACTTATGAATATGCATAACTTTTGAAGAGATAGGTAAAATGACAGACTGAAATAGCATCATTCTGTAACTCTCGAAATTTCTCATTTTTAAAGTATCATGGCCATTTGCTAAAATAGATATTTCTAGCTGATGGTGGTGGCACATGCATGTGATCCCAGCAACTTGGGAAGCTGAGGCAGGAGGATCATGAGTTCAAAGCCAGCCTCAGTAGGTTAGCAAGTCCTTAGTGAGACCCTGTTTCAAAATAAAACATAAAAAGTGCTAGGGATGTGGCTCAGTAGTAAAGTGCTCCTGAGTTAAATCCCCAGGACCTAAAATAAAATGAAAGTAGATATTTCTTAGTAAAGCTTTTTTTCTTTTTCTTTTTTTTTAAATACCAAGAAGACCAGTGTAGTAAACTAGTTATGGATGGAATCCTGAACCATCAGGTCATATATACATTCATCAGCTGAATTCAGACTTTACCTTTCCTTTATAACTTTTAGCCAATGAATTTTCCAAAAGAGGTTGACTTCTTATCTGTGTAGGTATACTACATCTAAAACAATGTTGCTTTAAACAGCTCTATCAACCAATTAATTATGTACTGTTAGTGTTAGATTCAGTAGAAATATTTCTTTTTAATTTGAAAACAATTATGGGGGGCCATACATGAATAAGTTTTATGAGACATTTAATAGATTTTTTGTTTTCTCTTATTTTTATGTTTCTTATGCAAATATTAGCTTTTTTTTTACAAGACATTTGTATGTGGAGAATAAACGTTATTGAATTTCCTTTCTGATATTTTTTAATTACACTTTTAAACATTTTATAATATTAGGAAATTGGTATATAAAATGAAATGTTGTTAATAAAATGTTTGTTTTGGGGATATTCAAATTATCAATGATATTAATAAGCAAATACTGTTTAATGTTCTCATTGCTTTAAACACAGAACTTTTTAATGCTGCCTTAGGCTGGGTTAGGGAAAATAGTACTGACATTCACAGTTTTATGTTCCTTTCATCAGGCGGCGGATGAGCCTGCCTACCTGACAGTGGGAACTGATGTCAGTGCCAAGTACCGAGGTGCCTTCTGTGAGGCAAAGATTAAAACGGTGAAAAGGCTGGTGAAAGTTAAGGTAATATATATGTATGCATATATGTGTATGTTTTTTAATGTAACAGATTCATTAACTGAATTAAAAGATTAGAGTTTTTTTATCTAGAGGGGAAGAATGAAAATATTTTGTTTATTGAACCTATAATATGTGAAAGCACTGTTATACACTAAGCTTATAGGAAAAGCACATGTTAAAAATTGAGAAATAACTTCAAATGAGAAATTATTCCAAGATGCTTCTATCAAAATACCACGCTCATGATACTCCTATTATTTGGATCTTTCCTGTTTGTAGTAGCATACTTATTATAATCTGTTTTCTCCCCTTTCATAATGTTCAGGTAGACTGTTTCAGTAATTAGAAAGAACAGTACAGTGGGAATTGTGTTTTTAAGACAATATTAAAAATGAATCAAAAGTTGATTTTTAAGATGTTTTTATGACCAGAAAAAAAATTAGATTAATATATTACTGTATAATATTTGGAGATACAGAAAATACAGGTGAATTATTACTTATAGCTTACTTTTCAGAAACACTGTTAACAATTTTTGTTTCCTTCTAGTAATTTTTCCTATATAAGTATAGTTTCTGTCAGTCTTTGTTATTTAAATGCAAAAGTTCCTGTTTATAAAAATATTTTTAACATTATACATGAGCTGTAAAATATATCATGAAAGTTCTCCGTGATAACATTCCAAAGAGATTCAATGTGATCTTCTAGGTTTTGTAATGTGCCTCTCATTATTGTTGTTATTCTTGGATCATGCTGTACCTGTAGTTTGCAATGTGCTTTTATTCATTTACATATCTAATGTTTTCCTACCAGAATTAAGCACCAAAAAGAGGAAACATCTGACTTGTTCTATCCCTGACACCTACAATAGGGCTTAATACATAACAGGTTCTTAAAATTTGTTGACTAAATGAATGAACTGGAGCAGTGACTCGAAAAGTGTGGCTCCCAAACATTCAGCATCAGCCTCAACTGGGAACTTGTTCACACTGAAAATTCTTGGGCCCTTTTCTGACTTGTTTGCAAATCAGAAACTCTGGGGGTAAAGTTCAGTAATTGTGTTTTAACAAGCACTCCAAATGTTTCTGGTGCATGTTAAATGTTGAGAATCATTGAATTAGAGAAATGTGATTTGTGTGGTAGAGTTTTTCATGATTCTTAAAAATTTTTTTTTTAAATTTTGATCTGCCGTTAAAATTTTTCTGTAAGTATGGTTAGGATATTGTTTGGTGTTCATTGCTTCTTTGTTTTAATAGCCTTTTTTTTTTCTTTTTTTTTATTGGTTGTTCACAACATTACAAAGCTCTTGACATATCATATTTCATACATTAGATTGAAGTGGGTTATGAACTCCCAATGTTTTAATAGCCTTTTAATCATATAAGATTCGATTACTAAATACTTATGGTAGAGTCTGATTATTTTTACTTTTTTTTTTTCCTGTGGCTCTCATTTACTGACAATCAGAACAGTGATAATTTTAGGATTGTTTTTATCATATCAACATTACCTAGAATTTGAATTTGCTCATTTGTGTGATTGCTTTATTTGGGATGGTTACCCTATATATTTGGGAGGAAAGGATTTTGGAGGAAGGGAGAAAGGAGAATTAGAAAGGAACTATTTTGTAACTGAATTTGCTCATGATTATTGTTCAGATTAAGGACCTCTGGTTTTAAGTAGGCAGTAAAGTTTGATACCTTTTTAAAAAATTTTTAAATTTATTCTAATTTGATATACATGATAGCAGAACACATTTGAATTAATACTACACATATAAAACACAATTTTTCATGTCTCTGGTTGCACACAAAATAGAGTTACACCATTCATGTCTTCATACATGTACTTAGGGTAATGGTGTCCATCTACCATCTTTCCTACACTCATATCCCCTCCCTTCCTCTCTCTCCCCTTTGGCCTACCTAAAGTTCCTCCATTCCTCCCATGCTCCCCCCAAAAGTTTGATACCTTTTTAAGAAAATATTTGATAACAACCAGAATCTCTAATGACTTATGACTTATTGATAAAATGCACTAAAGTTAGTTTTAAAGTTATAAAGTAATCATTATAGATTATAAATTTTCTATTGTTCATTCACTCAGCAAAGTTATTAAATGCCTATAATATGCATTGATACTGGCCTACTGCTGGGGATTTAGTAATAAAAGGAAGACTCTGGCTCACAAGGAACTCTAGTTAATGATGAGAGGGACAATAAGCATAAATATAAGACAGAATAATAATCAGAGGTAACCACAGGATACTAAGAAAGGGCCCTTAAAGACATGGTTGTTACAGTGTTAACATGAATGAATTGTTTTAAACTGAAGCATGCAAATTATTGTGCAAAAATATTTTTCAGGTACTCCTGAAACAAGATAATACAACACAGTTGGTGCAAGATGATCAAGTAAAGGGTCCTTTAAGAGTACGTATGTTATACAGTTTAATATAGAAAATAATGAATTGTAAACTCATACCATAACTTACCGAATTTAATTTTATAATCAACATTTTAAAAGAATGTTAAACAGAAAATAAAAATACAAATGAGATATTTGTGTGGTTAGTATAAATTATGATTTGCAATATTTGTATAGTTAGTATAAATTGTGATATTGCAATAATTGTATCTTTAAAAGAAGGTCAAGCATCTAACATCAGGGTAATTTAATATACATATAAATATGTTAAATCTTCGCCCATCCTTTGTTTTAAATTGTTAGACTGAATTTGTTTTTTTAAAATCGTTGCCGTATCTGAGATGATGCCTGCTAAGTTAGATACCAGTGTTGTAAGCTTGAATCTTCTGTTGTTCTGATTTATCAAGTAAACTATGTTCATTTCATAATTCAATTTAATGAATACCTTTATTATGTGTTCTGTCCATTTCTGGCCATTTGTTTATGTAATAAATCTTTGTTATGTCAGAGTACCACTTCAGTTATTATCTGATATACAAAGGTCTGGAAGCTGAAAGAAGGTCAACTGGTCCATCCTTCTGTCTCCAGGTGAACCTTTATCTAAAAGGTCCCTTAAATGCAAATGCTGAGTCCAATATTCAATATTTCTATGAAAGAAAATTGAGACTATTTTGGTTGTCTTATATTTTTATGGTTCTTATTTAATTTTCTTGAAGGCAGTGTGATATAAAAAAGCTCTAAAGTAAGATTTAAGAGACTGGGTTCTCATTCTGGAATCTGCAAATTATTTTCTCTTTCTGAGCTATAATTTTCAATTTATAAAATAGGGATGATAATCGTTATCTTACTTAAGCCAAAGTGCTTTGGGGTCAAATAACATAATGAAGATAGGAGCACCATAAATGATAAAGATCTAAGCTACAGTAAGGAAGAATTATCATAAGTATTATTTTTCTTACCCAGATAATGTAGATGGTGGGTGTGATTTGATTTGTTTGTTTAAATTTGGTAAGGAAATTTGGGTTTTATATTTTAGGTTGGAGCTATTGTTGAAACCAGGACATCTGATGGATCCTTTCAGGAAGCTATTATCAGCAAGTTGACAGATGCTAGCTGGTATACTGTGGGTAAGTAGTTAAGTAATTTAATACATAGATTTGATTTGGAGGTTACATATACCTCTATTTTGTGGATACACTGAAGCATTGTGTTGGCAGACAACCTTGTGTTTATTCTTTCCTGTCAATTTACTGGATATAGCTGGATTAAATTTTAATGATACCCTACTCTTAACAAAAGAGTTGCTTGGCCATTTGTGTTGTTTCATCCAAGAATGTACTTTGTTTTAGATTATTTTGATATTTCTCTAAAAAAGTAAGAATATATAATTATTTTTCTTCCATAAGAAAAAAATCAGATCTTTTCGTTTGTTCTTTAATCACAATTAAAATTTCATAGGTGCTATTGCTACCTGTTTTATAAGGGTGATCTAGATGTTACCATAGAATTTTCAAGCTAAAAATGTTCTGACAAGAGCAGAGTCAAGCCCAGATGTTTGTAGCTCCATTTTTTACGTTCAGTACAATATGGGTTCTCTTGTTGGCAGATTTCATGAAAGATTTAAACCAACTGCAGTGGATTTGAGGTTTTGAGGATCTCAAACCTCTCAAATTTAGTTAAGTCTGGGGATAGCAATGCAAGAATCTTTCTTTTCATAAATATAGTAGGTGATTCTGGCATGACTAGTACATATTTAGAAAAACAGACTGCATATGAGCTCCTGGGATCCCAGCTAATGGAGAGGTTGAGATAGGAAAATTTTTTGAGTCCAGGAGTTCCAGTTTAACTTGGGCAACAGTGCAAGACCCCCATCTCAAAAAAATCAAAGGAAGATGATCATTATGTTAATGTGAATGTATTCTTAACATTCCATATGTTGGCTTACACTGGTTGTAGAAAACTTTAGTGAGAAGCAACAAGTATCATACTATATATAAATGAAAACCTTCAAGTAGTACTTAAATAGTTGCCATCATTATGCTGATGAGAATACCAATAGATAATGTTTCCATATCTTGCAGTAGTTTGTACTACACATTCCTGTGGATTATATCTGATACTATGTTTTATACTGGATACCTGTAGCATTATTGTTTTTATATTTATATTATGATATAAGTGGTGTAATTATAATGTAATTATCTTGTCAAAAGAAAGAAAATGATCTTTTAGGTTTACCTTTAGTGTACTTGATTCATTGCTTTGGATAAAAATCATTCATTTCCAGTTAATGCTCAGAGTTGTGAAAAACATATTTGGTTTAAAATTGTACTTCCTGTGTCTTGCTCTGTAGCTTCTATTAGCAGCAACAGTTTGCTGTATGTAACTTCTTTTCCTAACCTTTTTTATTCTCTTTGGACCTATTGTAAGTTGTTGTTTCACAATGAAACCATTATTCTGAACTACATATTTTTATTAATCATTGTTGTGGCTATTGATAATTGTTAGAGATTCAAAACGTAAGCTTAAAGTTAACTCTTACGGATTTAATAAATAGTTTTTTTATGTATTAAAGATGGCTTTGGTCAAAATGACAGAAGTTGGTTTGTGCAGAATCATGTGAAATTATATATTGCATATTCAAATACTAATATTGCATCTTATGATACTTACTATCAAGGTTGCACTCAAATTACTTGTGAGGCTTTTCTGATTCAAATACTAAAATGCTCATGTTCTGCAGGTTTTCACATTCTGGGTTTCTGCATCCCAGAACAACCATTCGGTTATGAATTATGACCTCTGTACTCTATGTGAGTGGTATTTTAAGATTTCTGAATACAAATTGATACTGAGCACTCTCTATGGGGCTTTTCTGTGTTGGGTAATTACAGAAGAAATTATATCATTCTTGTTCTCAAACTACTTAGAACCTAAATTGCATATAATCAAAGTATCAAGCATTAGCGTACATAAGAATCAGTTGGCACTTAACAACAAATGATTTGAGGACCTCAAATCTCTCAAATTTAGTATGTCCAGGGATGGCAATGCAAAAATCTTTCTAAGTACATTAGGTGACTCTGATGCAGGTAGTACACACTTAGAAAAACAGATGGCACATGGAGAAATAGAGATTTATTTTGGGAGAAAAATCCAAATTATTAAAGAGGACTGGGGATATAGCTTAATGGTAGAATGTTTGCCTCACATTCATAAGGCCCCGAGTTCAGTCCTCAACACTGCAAAAACAGAACAGCAAAAATAAAGTATTAATGATTTTTGCATTTATGTGCATGAATCAGATTTTCTTCTATAAAAAGATTTTGAGAGGCACTATGAAGTTAAAGTACACTCATATTACCCTACTATGAGTAATGTTTATTGATGGAGGTGGACCAAAAGAATGGTCAGAGTACACATAATGAGTTTTTTTTACTATTTGTTTTAAAACAGTGGCAAACTGGAATCTGTGCACTCTTGTAAGTCATGAGCTTCCTATGTATTTCCTTTATTGAGCATATATTACCCATTATGTTTAATTGCTTGTTTCTGGAAGTTTTTTTTCATTTCCCATTGTCGGCAAACTATTATATAGGTAGAATCAGAAAATTATACAAGATATTGATATTCTTTATGATCTTTTTTTTTTTTAAAGAGAAGCGGAGAGAGAATTTTTTAGTATTTATTTTTGAGTTTTCAGTGGACACAACATCTTTATTTTTATGTAGTGCTGAAGATCGAACCCAGCGCCTAATGCAAGCCAGGCGATCGCGTTACCACTTGAGCGACATCTCCAGCCCCATTTATGATCTTTTTTTAATTTCATGAAATCTCTGAAGTTATGTTGCATTATTAGAAATGAAAAAAGAAGACACTACATTGCTGGCTTTAATGAAATAGGACTTTTGATCATTAATTATCTAAAATTATCATTAGGGTTGGGGTTGTGGCTCACTGGAAGAGTGCTTGCCTAGCATGTGTGAGGCCCTGGGTTCATTCCTCAGTACCACATAAAAATAAATAAGTTAAATATAATGGGGAAAAATGAATAAGAAAATAAAATGAAATTATCATTAGTCAGTGACATTAATTCCTTGTTTAATATAAGTATTTTTCTTCTGTTATAGCTGGTTAACCAGTTTAAAAGAGATGGATATAAAATGATTCAGTGTTTTTAAAATTTTAAGTCTAATGCCACTTTGCCCCCCAATGTTGAACTATACAGAGCCCCAGGTCTTTTTTTTTTTTTTAGCATTAGAATATCATCTCTATCATAAAACAGTTGCTTCCTACCATAATCTACTGATTTGACAGTTCTAATCCTTCCACTAATATAAGGAATCTGTGATATATGTGACTATTGTTACCTGTCTAGTCATTCAAAAGGTGTCAGAATTGATTTTAAAATTTATATCTCCAATTGAATATTGCAATTAGCTCCTCAAATATACAAATTCAGATATTTTGAATGTACCATTTTTTTTCTTTTTGCTTTTTGTAGTACTAAAATAGCACATTGTACTTGTAAAATAAGGAAAATTTAAAGGAAGAAAATGTCAGCAATCTTGTCAGCAATCTACATATTAAATGTGTATATATATATATATATATATATATATATATATATATACATACATCCTATTTCAGGTTTAACACTAAACTTGATTCTATTGTTTAAATTAGTACAGTATTTTTATAACAAGAAATACTTTTTTAAGAATCAGATGTTTTTGGCCAGGTGTAGTGGTACATGATTATAATCCCAGTAAGTTGGGAGGCTGAGGCTGGAAGATCACAAGTTCAAAGCCAGGCTCACCAATTTAGTGAGGTCCTAAGCAACTTAGTGAAACCCTATCTCAAAATTAAAAAATAAAAAAGTCTGGGAATATGGCTAAGTAGTTAAGTACTCCTGGGTTCAATCCCCAGTAAAAACAACAATGACAACAACCAAAAAAATCAAATATTTTTTTGTGTTGTAGTTATTGTTTGAACATTTGTTATATCAGATTTCCTAGATGTTCTACTTGATAGAGTATTGAGTAGAGGATGTTAAATTAAAATGCTGAATAGACTGTACTGCAGGCTCATAAGGCTTTTAATTTAGTCTTACATACCCTTTTATGACAATGTTTTTATAATCAAATCAATCACAAAAATGTTTTCAAAACCAGGTGATAAACACTTACTAGGAGGTCATTAATTTAGAGAAGTACTAAGCATCAAAGAAATCTTTGACTTTAACCCATTATTTAAATGATCATGTAAAAGACTTAGTATTCACTCGATATTTTGTTAATGTAAATACATATGTATACATACACACATATATAAATTTCTCCAGTTTTTAGATTGCTTAAATTTTTGAGAGACTTCTGTAGCTATCACACAACTCTTAGAGTAACCATCTTTGAGAACTATTGGAACTAAAGCAATTTTGAACAAAAAGAACAAAGCTGGAGGCATCACACTACTGATTTCAAAACTATGGCAATCAAAACAGCATGGTCCTGGTACAAAAACAGACATGGACCAATAGAACAGAATACAGAGCCCAAATAGAAATCCATGCATTTATAGTCAGTTGATTTTCAATGAAGGTGACAAAATGGAGAATGGAAAATCTTTTCAATAATGGTGTTGAGAAAATTGGATATTTACATGAAGAAAAATGGAATTAGAGCATCAGCTTATACCATATACAAAAAAAAAAACAACAAAAAACCAACAACTGAAAATAGATTAACTTACACCTCAAATTATAAAATGACTAGAAGAAAATGTGGCTAGAAGTTCTATTACATTTACCTGGGCGATAAGTTGTTTTTTTTTTTTTTTAATGATTCCAAAAGCACACTGCTATGGTTTGGATGTGGCTTGTCCCCAAGGTTTCATGTGTGAAAGCTTGGTTTTAGTGTAGAAATATGATGTGGTCTGGAACCTTTAAGAGATGAGGCCTGGTTTGAAGTGTTCAGGGCATTGGGAGAGTGCTTTCCTTGAAAGGAATTGAGTTACTAAGAGCAAAGTGGCCTTTAAATCTTCCTCTGGCTTCCTGTCTCACTGTGATCTGTCTTACCCGTGTACTTGCCATCAAGCCATCTGCCATTAGGCCCTCATCACAGGTTGA